TTTACTACAAATAAACATTTTGCTACAAAATTTACATTCATGTTTATTCATATTGTAAAATGCACATAATAATTCTCTTCTTTTACTGATGCGTTATATTTTTAGCAATTTAGTATGCACATTTGTTATTCAATAATGATAATTGCCACGAAATTGCAATATTTATATGAGACTGGATTTAAGAACGGAATATATTCAAATGTTAACTGAGAAAAGTGTTTCTCTCGCTATTTTCAATTCGATGGGAGGATATTTTCAGATATCTTCGAAATATCGTAGAATAGCCGTCTTATAGCGGTGTAATATCAGGCCGCGATATAAAATGCATGTAAAATGTGTATATACTTGCGTAATCGCATGCACGCACAATTACAGTGCGCAACACGAATTTCTTGCTTTTTCATTCGTTCTCGATCGCGTGCGAGACAAAGTGTTTCTAAACAGAGACATCCATTTTTCCTATTTGGAAGAACACGTGTCGGAATATCGTTTCTGTTTCTCATAATCAAGTTGTTAGCGTCACGTTGGTGATGATTCACTTGTTGTTAGAAAGTAATCAACGTCCCTATCGAGAAGTCGATGGAATTATAGCACTATATAACGATAAAAGATCGATAACACGGTGGCTTGACGAGTCGGGGAAAAACGCGCGTTGCTGCATGATTATGATAAGAAGAAATTTCACGTAAACACATAGCATGTGTTCGCCTATGATTAATTAGTAATCAAAATGTATCAGCAGTTAGCGAAGTCGATAGTCGCGCGAGATGGACGAGAGAAGAAATAATTAATCGCGGATAACTCGCGTAGACTGAGAACTAAGATGTACGGCGTGCTATTGTTAACGATAGGCTCAGAAATCGAATTTTGGTAGAGAGCGGGATAAAGGGTCGCTGCCGCCGCCGCCGCCACCGACGCCGCCATCGGGGGTGAGAATGCGATGCGTAAGAGACGAGGGGAATCAGGGGTTGTACTCAGGACGTAGAGTTATTGACCTGCCGACGAGGAGGTTCTCTTGTTCGGGAGGAATGGCTGGCAAGAACTTTCTCGAGGTCGTTTGCGTGGCGCACGAGACGTCTCGTTGTCGAGGTAGAACGTAGAAAAAAATCAGCCATTCGCTCTTTAATCGATAAAGCTATACACAAAGACTTTATATTCATTTATGTTTTGAATTTTTTGTATCTTACAACGATATGAGTTGCATTGTACAATTATATTACGTTTGTATTCTTATTTTTCCCTGATGTTAATTTTTAATGATAGTCGGATGATCACAGCACACCTCAGGTATAGTTTTTCTTTAAAACTATACTTTGTTCTGAAAAAAGAAAAAAGTATTGCCCAGATGCTTAGAAGATTTGAAGTTTATTATCTTTATATTCCTGTATCTTGTAAGGGAATAATTAATGTAAATTTAACTGCACTGAGAAAAATTTCTGAAAATTTCTCATTTTTTGAAAATGGACGAAAATTCTAATCATATCAATGAAATCTCTTTGATTATTTCAACTAGAATTATAATAAAGTTAACCAAAAAATTTTGATTGATTTGTCCATGTTAAAAGATTCCTTAATAGCAGATTCTTTTTCAAATGCATAACATAATACATTAGTAAAAAGTGTAACTATTACTAAATTAAATTTTTTAATGATTTTTTTAAGCATCCCATCTATTAACTTGTGCATCATTAAATCATCTACCTAATTAAAGATCGTGTGTTAGGATTGCAAATTTAAAATATCATCTCCCAAGTCTAATACCGTCATTCATTACGTTTCATAAATATTCTCATAAATAAATTTGATCGCAGATCAGTTAAAATCTTTTTTTCTCTGAAATCGTCTTTTTATCCTTTCTACCTCTCGTATTTCCTACTAATGAGATTAATAACCCGCACTTGATATAATGGTAATAAATGACGATGAAACTTCAGTTCGATGCGAGGGAGAAAGATTCTCTCTTAAAAGGAAATACTTTGTTCTATTAACATTATGTGACAATATACGTACGTTGACGATTTTTGTTAATTCTGAGAGTGTCTTTCAAAGGTTCTCTGCTGCGCGTGTCTTATATCTCCTATCGAACCGTCTGCCGAACAGTCTTTGCCTCAAAAATATTTTCTCGCAGGCTCATATTTAGGAGACTCATGTTTTTAAATAGATCCGCTATGCTATTCCGTTCTTTGCACAGAGCGGAAATGTTGAGAATGACGATGCGATTTGATAATTTGATATGTACTTTCGAATAACAGACTGAGGCAGTTATTAGAATAATTAAAACTGTAATGGATCCCTTTATTGAGTGAAAGCGACCGAGCGGGACGGCGCTTGATTATTTCGTCGCGTTTATGTAACACGCCATGGAAATATAATTGCCCGCCGCATTACGCCTGGGTACCCCTGTCTCCTACACACTCACACACGTAGAAGATCTGCAACGACACTCTGTTTGTCATGCAAGCGTGATCGTAATGGACTTCTCGACCACCGTCTAATACCATCGTGGCTTTTTCTGCCAGCCAAAGTGTAACCAATGTAACCGCGAGCCATCGTCAGTCCAAGTTCCTCGACGATGAGGAATTATCGTCGAATCAGTGAAAGCATATCACTCCACATTGACACAGATAGAACGTAAGAGAGAGAGAGAGAGAGAGAGAGAGAGAGAGAGAAAATTAAACATGACAATTGTAGAGTTCATTTTAGATATGCGATCTTTTCCGTAATTTGCACCATTTTGTACAATTTTAGACTCTGCGAGTCTTCGCGAGAGCTTTCGCTTTTAAGTCATTCGCATTAAATTAGTTGGAAATGTTTTTTTTCGCAAATTAACGTGGGCGTTCAAGATTTCCCGAGCCTTCCTTTGAAGAAAATCACAGAAAAGTTTACACACTGGTTATTAAAGTGTTTTACACGTTAAAGGATTGGAAAGGAAAGTACGTGAAATCACACAGGACGATATTCCTTGCGCGATCGCCGCGGGAAAGAAGGAAATCATTTTTCACCTGTGAGCTCCGACACTCTCATAGCGCGCCGTTATACTCGGAGGTCAATCTTGGTCGACCCAGCGCGCTCGAGTAAACGCGATCTTCCGCGACGCGATTAATTTTCTCGTGTGCGCGTGTAGGTATACAGATATACATGTTTCCTCTGACAAGCTTTGAACCGACGATGAGCTGAAACTGCGTAAAATATTTATATTACTTCGTACAAATATCGTATTGCATCGTTGTACAGGCGATAGCATTAGCAAATCATAAAGTCTAATGTGAGTCTAATGAGAATCGATGGATATGGCGGGATATGTAAAAGCGAGATGCTTCTTCTCTGATTGGTAATATGAACAGATCGTTAGAGATAAGATGTATTGGTGTATCGACACTCTCTTCTTGTGAAAGACAGACTGTCTTTAAATTCGAGACCGACTCTAAAATCGATCTGCAATAAATGCGAGAGAGTTATCATTCTTTCGGATTCTTTTCTGTGTTTCTGTGTAGAAAGAACAGCTTTGCTGAAAGACAAACAACTTTACTGAATATAGATTTAAAAGTAGTTTGACGTTAAATCGTCAAAATAATCATATTGGAAAAAATTATGAAGTGCTGCAAAAATTTTTGACATAACAACTGATTTGAATTTCGAAATAATAAAATTATTTTCAGATCTTGCTAGACGAACGAGCAAAATTTTTGCTATTTTAGCAACCGTTTTGAATTTCCAACAAAATTATTATTATTTTTTTTTTTCAGAGTTTGCTGAAAAATCTAAAATTTAGATATGAAAATACAGATATGAAAATGGTCTTGTTAGACCATCAAAATAATTGTATTGGAAATTTGCAACGTCGCAAAAAATTTTGGTATTTTAACAATCGATTTGAGTTTCTAATAAAATTATTTCGATGGTCTAACAAAATTCTTTTCAGATATGTATCCAGCGACATTTCTTTTAACAAAATCCGTTCTTTCCGCGTGTGGCCTTCAACGATGAGAAGCAGTGCGTTTAGGAGCTCTTACCGACGATACTTTCCCTTTCCAAGCTATCACCAAGAGACAGAGGCGCGTATGTAAAAGTTACACGCAAAAATCACCGCCCGCCTATCCGCGCGATATAATGCAACTCGCCGCGCGATTACGAGATCATGCACCGCAATTTCACGCGGTCGCAAAACATCGCATTTTACGCTCGTCTCTATGCGGGTACGATCGCACGCGCTCGCTTCGCCAATTACCAGTCGCTCGTTGCTTGTATGACTTGTAAGTTGGACGAGCGATAGGTAATTACGCTAATCGATCCCACGTTCGTATTGACTGTTGTAACACTTTGCACGATAAACGTTCGCGACCGGAATTCTACGACATGACTTCGTTCTTTAGTCCTCATCCGCGTATTTTATCAACCTGAGATTTATTCACATGGCAAAACATCTAATATTCTTTCGCAACGTGTCATAATTTTTTGCATTTCTAAAAATATTTTTTTGCGTAACACAAAAAATTTAAGTGTGTGTATGTGTGTATGTGTGTATATATAACAGAATTTAATTTAATAAAAGAATGTTTTTGGATCTTGGCTTAATAATATTCATAGATTTACATATACATTTTTCGGTTCCATAAACTGCGCGTTGATTTAATTTGTCGGATTTCAAAATGCAATCGTAAACTGAATGTGGAAGTAACATCACCAATTACATCATCCAATTAATAATGATCTCAAAACATTATAAAGAATTTATTGCAAATAATATTATTCAATAATATTACTTCAGTCAGGAGATATTTATAAATATATGTTTTTTGTAAATCTACATGCATATATTATTAAAACAAGATTCGATTGAAAACAGAATTTTTTTCTCTTATTTTATTTATTCTTATCGATCTAATTTTTATTTATGATTAACAACTGTTTTATTTATTATTCTTTAATTGCTGGGGCTTTGCTTTGCATTCCATCTATTTATGAAGAAAATAATTAACCTTGATTTTTTTTCTGTTTCAGCATAAGATTGGCGAAAAACCTAATATACAGTTCCTAGGAAATGATGGGGTGAGTAAAAGCAAATTTTTTTCTGTTCCCCAAAAATCATATGTCCAACATATAAAGGAATTACGACATTGAGAATCCGTCGGTTGGTCGATAATGCGCGAGCACGGAAAGATAACAAAAGATTAGAGATAATCGACGTCCGTGAATCGCAAACATGCAAAATTTTTAATTTTTCACTAAAAAAAAAAGAAAATGTTTTCCATCTTGTTTGTTAAAAAAATAGCATATGTATAGAACATTTCTCAAAACTATTACACTTAAATCATCGTGTTTCTTTAAATTGCTGTAACATTAGTACACTGAAAAAAAGAAATATTTATAAAAATAAAAATGTTAATAAATATTTATTTAAATAGTACTAACTAAATATTTACTAAATGTAATATTTATTTGATATTATATATTGACATTTTGATTATTATATATTGACAAGAATCATTAATTTGATTTAAATATCATTCTTTTATTAAATAAATATTTATTTACTATACTAACTAAATATTTAGTTAATATTATTTAAATAAAAATATTCATTAAAATTTAGTAAATTTTTTATCAATATACATGATAAATCATTAATGATTTTTTCTTGACTTACTCATAATCACAAGACGGAGATACGAGATAAGAGTTCAATGATGAATGTGAACTTGGGATTCCCACTTTTGAAAAAATTAACTTTCTACAGTTCATCGTTTTGATTGTTCATCGTTTGCACATTTATAGTGAAAAAATTATTAAAAAAACAATTTAAGGAGGGCTAAGGATAGACTTACTACACAATATTATTTTCATTATAAATGGCCTCTTAATCGTATACACTCATATTTTTATGAATCAACCTGTACATTCGTCCTAAAAATTTCTGCGGTCAGAATAGATCGTGGGGTAAAAAAACTGGATTTCGCTGATTACTTAAAATATATTCTATAGAATGTAGGAATGGAGGGAGTTATAAAGCGAAGGAGAGAAGAACGGTGAAATTTTCTTTCGGCGAAAAAAAAAGTGAGAGTGAGAGGTGTGCGAGTGCTTCGATCGTCGATTCACGTCGGCATTTTTCTTCTCTTAATTTACTGACACGAACAGCCATTAAATTATTTAGCAATATTTTATTTCATGTTATTTTACCTTTATAACTGCAAACCGAAGAAATCTACGTTTTTCGTAGATTTTGTAGCTTGCTGTATATCTGAATTACAAATTTTTACTCGTCTATTTGAATATCTACGCGTGACCATCGTGACGATGATCGGACGTATCACGCAAAAAAAATCTCACGACGGTAGCACGATTCCGTGCAACCGACGTTAAGAGCTTGATCTCCCAGCCGGCCGAGTGGTCGCAAGATCACGTGTGTGTGTGCGTGTTTTTTGTGTGTGTTGTGCGTGTGTGTGTGTGTGTACATGTGTCGTCACGGTTCCACACATCGGAGGTTTCCTGAAGGCGATCGAGGTCGTCCGAGCAAGGTTATACACCATTTTCTCTCGCTGCCGCCACCGATCAGTCTCTTAAACCTTCCTAAACTCTGTTAATCGATACTTTTGCAATGTATAATAGAAAGATATAAACAAACTGATTTTGTGCCATTTCAGGTTAATTTGTATCTATTAAATCTTAAATGTAATTACAGCATCTTAACTGTAACATTTTTTTAAATTTAGTTGGATCAAATATAATATGAGGGATCAAAACTTCAGGCATGTAATTAGTATAAGTTATCGAGCTGATAGTAACGTTTTTTTTTTAAATTATCATTGAATATGTAAATATTCTATCTTCAATCTAAAATCGTAAATTTGTGTAATTTATCAGCTGTGTACAGTTAGATATTATTATTTAACTAAGACTGCAGTTAATCGAAGTTGATGAAATCATCTTTTTTTATCCGTTTGATAAAAATTTATCCATCGGCGCACGACTCTGTTGAATTGTTTCGAAAAAACGCCCTTCGGATTGGACGATACTTAAAAAGAATGCTGCATAATTGTCACAAGTTGGCGTTCCTTAACGACAGCAGCGGCTGATTGTCGATATGAAATCTCTCTCAGTGATCTGGAGGTAATTGACCTGCTCTCCTCGTCCTTCATCGACTTCCCCTTGTTCTCGGGTGTGGTCGTTGTTCGCCTGCATTACAACGGATCGTACCAAGTCAAATTCTACAAGATGATTCTGTCATCAATTCCAAGACCAAGACCAAGAAAATAGATTCCATCGATCGAAAAGAAAAGAAATTAAAGAAGCAGATCGTTCATACATTTCTTCATCTTAGATTTGTTAAACTGAAACTTCGAATTGATTTCTTATGACGTATCACTTACGTGATTAATCTCGAATTGCAATATCGTAATTAATCCTTGAGACTTGCGTCGATAGAAAATGAGTCTGACTCGTTACTGAATCTAGAATAATTACTGGGAAAATACACACACACACACAGAGGCATAGAATGAATCCTGCAATTTTAAAATTTCTTAGAAATCTTTGATTTGTATTCATTCTTCTCTTCACTTCTCCATTCATACCATTGAGATGTTAACACTTGTTTTATGCTGACCTTTGACAATATTCCACCGTTAAAAATCTTGAAGATCAATGCGTCACCGTTGACCTTTGCACAAGTAGCTGGGACTAGATAATGCCTTAGGGCCACCTGCATTCGACATCGTTGTCTGGAAATTTATCTCTTAAGGACGACTTGTCACGAGCGTCATTTCGCGAATCCCCGGAGAATACAGCAGAATACATCTCTATAATTTTCCAATAGCACATATAAATATCTCAGTTATACACAGTCACTATGAATTAATACTTATATTTACTTATATTCGATTATTTCTTACAACGTCTCAATTCTCAACGATCGGATGAATTCATTTTTTTTTCTTGGAAAAGAAAAGATGCAATTTTTTTTAAATAAACCTAGGTTGTCCTTTTACTTATTACTATTCAAAAAAAAAATGTGTTAAGATTTAGTATCGTATATTTTTTCGGTGTACTCATATTCACGTGTATATTTTACTGAATAATAAAGGAACAAAGGAAAACCCGTTCGGTATTACCCCTAAATTATCGATCGCGACACTTGGATAATCTTTTCCATCTTTCTTTATTTTCCGTTCCGGGGCCACGGGTGCTAAGAACGCGGAGCGATTATTCCAGTATAATTCGCTGTTTAGCGGACGTCCTTGTCGCGACTGACGCACTCAGGGAGAACCGATCTCCGCTCAGGCCTTCTCTCTATACAGCATATCCGTCTGAATCGTGGCAGCAGGCAGGGCAGGCGCAGCGCAATGTGCATCTGTATTGTCCGTGTGTATGTGCATACACAATGCGATTTCATGTGTAGCAGCAATGCACGGCACGATCGAGCACGATACGTGCGCGACAATCATCGATGGGGCCTCCCCGATACATAGAAACATACGACTTTGACACGTATATATCATGCCACGTCGTATCCTCCTTCTCCTCCTATCCTCTCTTTCTCTCTTTCGTTCGTGTGGATCTCATCACTTGCCTTCTCGCGTAATTTTATCATGAACGCGAAGAGTCTCTGTATTTATATGAGACACGGTTTCGCGATAGTGTGGTGGTCGTTTTTTTTTCTTTTTTTTTTTCTTCTTCCATAGATTCGTGTGTGTCGATAGTTGCGCACGTGCTCGATCGTGTATTTATGTGTACGTGTGTACGTGCGAACGCTCGCCTTCGCATTGTTGCCTTTCACTCGGTTTCTTAGAGCACCCGCTGCATATACATACATATATATATATATATACATATATATATATATGTGCATATATATATAGATGTAGGTTTTACCTGGGAATAGCGCATTATTACCAGCATTACCTCGAAGCTGAATCTTCGGAGAGTACGGAAGAGCACATTCCGCGAATTCGTCAGTCATGCGGATATGTTTCCGATGAAGAGACCCGGAAAATTATCAGGAAAATGTTCCTCTCCCGATAACTCCGCGATGTACGAAAAAAAAAGCGTTACCGCGAATACTCCGGTTTTCTTCGAAGCACTCTGGCATTCAATGAGACATTCAAATTCAATTATTCGGCATATAAAATCCAAGAGCTTACGTGTTATTCGATGTTTAGTGTATGATTTCAGTACTTAAGCAAAAGGTTATCATCCGATAATGAAATTATCTATTTTAAATTGTTACTTGAAGTTTCGAGAAATTTCTGTCGTTCACGATGTCGATTGATCAGACATTCGATCCAATCATGGGTGATTTTGTAAACTTTGTTTTCACCGATTGCACAAGTACGCAAGGCAATGGCGTGAGTCAACTCTCATTACGTTATACGTGGCGAAAAAAAACTTTTACAATGTAGAATGCGGTTGTTTCTTTCCTGCAATACTTAATATTGTTCGGGCGAATGGAATTGAATCGGATTAAAGCTGAAAATCAGCATCTCTAGAAAGGTAGACACGTTTGAGCATTGAAATAATGATCGCGTTTAAATGTGTATAGCGAGCAAAATGCCGGTTCACACGCAGTGTTTCAGTGGTCGACTCGATGATCGAGGGACCGTTTCGCAATCCTTTAACTGGTGTCAAAAAAAATTAAGGACAAGTGACGTTTGTCTTCGGGGACGAAAATTACGAGGCGGAAGTTTCCTTTCGCGTTATTGTCTCGGGACGTTTCTTTCTTGAATCTTCGTTATGTATATATATATATATATATATATATATATATATATATGTCCATGCGCATGTGTAACACGCACATGTAATACGTAAATGTATGTAAATACGGTTTTCCGGCTTAAGGTGGTATTGCATCGCGCCGTGATCAGTCGCGACTGACACGAAATGTCGCTGCCGCAACAGTTACTTTTACGTGTGACCCACTTGCCATTCTAGTAGTCGAATCTGAGTATCATAATGAGAAGTGGGACGTCCTGAAATCATCAGCACCGCGAAGTAACCCTAAAACGAAGGTCGGTCGCGGCATTCAGAAGGTCGAATGTGATCTCGCACAAGTA